GGTGGTGGGCCCGCAGCAGCCGCCCGCCGGGGCCCAGGTAGGTGCGGAGGTCGGCGTCGCTCAGGGGGGCGAAGGGAGATGGCGGAGGGGGCGGTGAAGGAGGGGACCCTTCAGGCCAGGACAGGGCTGCCTGCGCCCGGGCCAGTGTCCGGCCCACCTGTGCGGAAACAGGTCACTGGCGGCGCTGGGGAGGGGTTGTATACGCAGGGAGCTACGGCAGGGGGAAACTGGGAGCACTGGGAGAGGACTGGCAGACACAGGAAAGGGACTGGGGGACAACTAGGACCATAGAACTAAGAGCCATGGGGAACTAGGAGCACCGGGAGGGGACTAAGGAACACTGGGAGGGCACTGGAGGACAATGGGAGGGCACTACGGAGTACCCAGGACCATAGAAGGGGCTCTAGAAGCACTGAGAGGCACTGGGAGGTGACTGGGGAGCAACTAGGACCACAGAAAAGGTGCTGAAGAGAACTAGGAGCACTGGGAGGGAACTGGGATGGCCAAGGGGTCAGAGGGGGCTCCAGGACGTCTCAGCAGGGTGGGGGAACCCAAGGACCCCCCGGCAATCCCCAGGTCCCACTCACCTGTGCCAGCAGGGCCTGGGTGAAGGGCAGCGCTGCGGCCAGGAGTGAGCGGCGCTCGGGGAGGGGCTCCGCCGCTGCCACCTCCCGGGGGCTGATGATGTCCCAGTCCTCCAGCAGCGGGCCTGCGGCACCAGAATACCTTAGTCCCTCCACTGGGCACCCGGGCACCCAACTCCCCTCCTCGACACCCACCCCGGACACCCGCGTCCCTTCCCAACACCCAACCCGGGTCACAGGAACGGCAAGGGTTGGAAGGGACCTCTGGAGATCATCTCGTCCAACCCCCCTGCCAAAGCATGGTCACCACACGCAGGTTGCACAGGACGGCGTCCAGGCGGGTTTGGAATACCTCCAGGGAAGGAGACTTCACAACCTCTCTGGGCAGTCTGTGTGAGTGCTCTGCCACCCCCAGAGTAAACAAGTTTTTCCTCATGTTCAGATGGAACTTCTCGAGCTCCGGTTTGTGCCCATCACCCCTTGTCCTGTCATTGGGCGCCACTGAAAAGAGTCTGGCCCCATCCTCTTGACACCTGCCCTTTCGATAGTGATAAGCACTCATAATGCTCTTTAAGCATGGATAACGCGCTCATCTTTATCAGAAAATATATTTGTAGAATAAGTCATAAGAATTTTAAACTAAAACAAAGCAGGTTTAGATTAGATATCAGGAAAAAATTATTTTCTCTGAGGGTGGTGAGCCCCTGGCGCAGGTTGCCCCGAGAAGCTGTGGCTGCCCCATCCCTGGAGGTGTTCAAGGACCAGTCTGGACGGGGCTTGGAGCAACCCGGTCTAGCAGAAGGTGTCCCTGCCCAGGGTAGGGTTGGACTAGATGATCTTTAAGCTCCCTTCCTGCCCAAAAACCCTTTAATGATTCTAGAAGATCTTCTCTCAGTCTTCTCCAGGCTAAACAGACCAAGGTTTCTCAGCCTTTTCTCATAAGAGAGATGCTCCAACCCCTTGATGATCTTGATGACCAAGTTCAGCCCTTGTTGAACTTCATGAGGTTCCTCTCCACCCAACTCTCCAGCCTGTCCAGGTCTTGCGGAATGGTGGCACAGCCTGCTGGCGTGTAAGCCACTCCTCCCAGTTTTGTGGCATCAGCAAACTTGCTGAGGGGATACTCTGTGCCCTCACCCAGGTCACCGATGAATAAGCTGAACAAGACTTAGACCCTGCTCACTCGCCCTGGGGATGCCAGGGTTTCCCCCTCTCCACCGAGCCCCCCTCAGGTCCTGCCTCGCTGTCCCACCACCCTCATCCCCCTGGGGACCCCCACTCACTTTCAGGGGGAGGCCGGACATCGAGGCGCAGGCGCAGGGTGGGCCGGGCATAGGTGAAGGCAGCCGCCAGGTCCCCATCACTCAGCAGTGGCACAAAGGTTTCCTGGCCCTGGGGGTCACGGGCCGCAAAGCTGACGGAGAAGCTCTTCTTCCTGAGGGGATGAGAGGGAAGGGGGGGCTCAGTGACCCAGGGCCCCCCAGGGGATCAGGCGGCTGGTGCTGCGGATGGGGGGGGGGCCCGGGCTCACCCCTGGGGGTCGCAGGGGCGGGC